TCTCGAGCAGAGGGCTCTTTGAAGTCCACAGTAATCACTTTACCGCAAGAGTGCGAACAGATAGAAGGAGGCTAGACTCGGCTTGGGAATGGGAGTGAACAGTTTAGGAATGAAGTGTTTTAGAATATCAAAAGACGGTTTGGGAACTGGTAAGAAGTCTTGCCGCCCAGGGAAACATTTGTCATCTGCAAAGTCTGCAACATCTTTGTTTGTGGGAGACCAGACATGAAGGTGTTATAGTATCTGTGGTTCAAAGCTTGACAAAAGTTAATCAAATCTCCGACCGAAGGGCCGGAGTGGGGGCGTGGTATGCAAATATCGGGGGCAGTGTTTTTCTTGTATTCTGCATATGTAAACAATAAAAGTTTGACTGGGAGCACGGTATCTTGGAGTGCGATTTGCGGACCAATTACCGTTGATTTTTTTCTGGGAGATCGTGCTTCCGTCATCTGAAAGACAATCTTCCCTGTGAGTCTTTTGTTTAAACTTGTCCAGGGAAATCTCGACACAATCGCAGGGCACACAGAGATGAACAACCAACTCACACCTAGGAAGAATTTAGAGTACCCGGAGAAAACCCACACAGGCCCGGAGAACATGCAAACTCTACACAGGAAGGCCAGAGGTGGGATCGATCGAACCCATGATCTCTGCACTGTGAGGTCAACGCACTAACCACTGGCTCATTGGGCCACCATCATCATACCATAACAAATATTCACCGCCCCATGAACACACTCTCATTTTTCTATCTCCCCACCTGCTTAGGATTCATCCTGAAATCCAAACCATCCATCTCTGGTCCTTCAACCCACACGCCTTGTTCAATTTCTCTCCCTTATCTCATCCATCACACTCTTCTTTCTCCACTGGAACTATACTGCTTTCAAAATTGCCGCCATCACACTAATATTGAAAAAGCCTGGTGCCAACCTCTCCGATCTTAACTTCAGTCTTATCTAGAATCTACCTTTCATTTGCCAACCAACTCCACTCTCATCTATCCAACAAGAATCTCTTTGAACATTTCCATTCTGGATCTACCCACTCCATAGCACTGAAACAGCACTTATAAAAATCACAAATAACCTTGTCTTTGGAGCTGATTCTGAACAACTCACCATCGTCATCCTTCTCGACCTCAGTGTGGCCTTTGACATCAGGGGCCCGATTTTGGTAGACTGGCACCTGTGCGCTTGGCGTAAAAATGGGTGTAACTTCAGGTTCATGTCAGAGCAAGACTAGCCAAGTGTTGTGTTTCATCCAGCTGGGTGTTTTGGCACATGAAGCTGCCTCGGACCCGAGTCGTCCGACAATTTGGAAAGAGAACATAGTCTGCGCTCAGCATAAAAATGGGCACTAACTGTCGTGCCGAGGCAATGGACTACTCAGTGTGTTTGTGAATTTTGTAGATGGGCGACACCTCAAGACGCGTTTCTGCCTCAACCCCCGGCACATCTGCAAATTTGGTCAGGAAAAAAAAAAAAAAATTCGACTTCTCAAAAAAAGGTTTATTTTGCAGTGCAAGTCGTCTAACGTGATTTTAGTGTATTACATCGAGGCACAGAATGACAGATTTGTGTGTGTGTGCGTGTGTGTGTGTGTGTGTGTGTGTGTGGTGGGGGGGGCAAAGGGGGGCATCAACAGGGCTTTATAACAGGCTAGCACACAATTTGATTTGTCGTGAAACAGTGTGAATCATTTTACACACAAAAGCTATAACTTAGGAACAACATGGACAACCTCACACACAAAATACTTCATTATTATATATATATATATAGATACAGTAAATATTCTCTAGTGCGGACTCGTGTTTGTGCTGTCCAATTTGTCCTGATAACAGAAATTCCTCATTTGGGAAATGAGCATGGTACATGTCCTTTATGAACCTGCAAGTATGTTGACAAAATGCACGTGTAACATCACAATCAATAAAATGCAAAAATATACTGTCCAAAAACTGTTTATATAACAAAAACTGCAATACAGGTGTATCCAAAAAAAATCACAACAGTAAAATACGTACAGTATTTTAATGATTATTTTTTTTCTGTCTTGGGAAAAAAATGTGTCTATTTTGGATTGTTTGGTTGGATGCATTCTTTGGTTTATGACAATGTTTGCCTGCGTGTCATACAGTTTTGTTGCTAGTTGCAAGTAACTGTCCCGTTGATCACCGATGTCTGGTAATT